AAAATTAGTAATAGTAACATTTTATATGTAATTTTCTAAGAGAAGTACAATATGTCTAAAAATTATTCTAGATTTTAAAGATTTTATTTTTATTTTGAATTATGCGTATGTGTTAGTGTCAGAATTTGGGTATGTGCATGTGAATGCAGGTGCCCATAGAGACGAGAGGCAAGGGATTAAAAAACAAAACAAAGCCAGGCGTGGTGGCGCACGCCTGTAGTCCCAGCACTTGGGAGGCAGAGGCAGGTGGATCTCTGTGAGTTCAAGGCCAGCCTGGTCTACATAGTGAGTTCCAGGACAGCTGGGGCTACAGGGAGACCCTGCTTCAAAAAGACAAAAAACAAAACAAACGCCCAGGTGTGTTAGTACACACCTTTGATCACTGCACTCAGCAGGCAGAGGCAGGTGGCTCTCTTGAGTTCAAGGCTGGCTTTGTCAACATAGTGAGCTCCAGGCTAGTCAGGGTTACACAGTGAGACCCTGTCTCAGAACAAACAAACTAAAACAAAACAACAAAACAAGAGGTGTTGGATTACCCTAGAGCTGGAGTTAAAGGTGGTTGTGAGCCACCTGACATGGGTGCTGTGAACCAAACTCTGGTCTTATGCCAGAACAGCACATGCTCTTAACCACTCAGTCATCTCTCCAGCCCCTAGGCTAGAATTTTTTTTGTCTTTTTGAAAAGACAGGGTATCCCTGCAGCTCCAGCAGCCTAGAACTCCCTATGTAGACCAGGATGGCCTTGAACTCACAAAGATCTGCCTGCCTCTGCCTCCTAAGTGCTGGGATTAAAGGTGTGCACCACCAGCTTCTAGGCTAGATTTTTAAAGTATTAATATTCTTTACATTTCCAGATATAACTTGTGGTCATTTCTTCTTACCATTATATTAGCCATCATCACTATGGTGTTTAGTATCCTATAAAAACAAGTTAAACAGAAACAGGTGCTGCTCTTTCAGCTTACACTTCTAATGATGTGGATAAAATAAAATCCTAACTCATTATAAGCACTTCAGCTGTCAAACTATGCAAGCAAATACAGAACACCCATATTTACCTATTGCAGAGTGTGTACACACTTCCTGCATTCCTCAAGTCACTATTTCATGGACCTCTTTCCCTGACTCTATAGGGTCATTCAGACTTTTTGATTTTTAGAAAATTAATCTGAAAGATACTGGGGTGAGAAAAGAACATGGCTTGTCCTAACCTTAACCATTTTTGTCTGCAAAATTGAGCTCTAGAAAGAAAAATGCACAAATAGCTCTAACACGAACCTGAAACTGAGGAAACTGAAGAGAATATTTAATTTTTAATTTCACTTGATTTATGTTACTGAAAATTGAGAGTAAAGAGAAATGGTTTTTTATTGATGATGATTTTTTAAAAATTAAGAACACTGGCTGTTCTTGCAGAAGACCCAGATTCAAATTCCAGCACCCACAAGGCAGCTAACAACTATCCATAACTCCAGTTCCAGGGGATCCGACAGCCTCTTCTGTCCACCATGGGCATTGCACGACATGGGTGCACTTACCTACATGCAGGCAATGCATGCATATACATAAAATAAAAATAATAAATAGAATATTTTTAAAAAATATTTTCCTTGAGACAGGGTCTCACTAGGTGGCCCAGGCTGGCTGGCCTTCAACTCATGATCCTTCTGCTTCAGCTTCCCAAGGGTTGAGATTGTATCTCTAGCTGGGAAGTGTGTTTTTTACTCAAACACTTTTCAATTTCTACAGCTCCAAGAGCCCATTCTTCTGCCCAGGATAGTTCAGATGCCCCTGAGCAATAACCACTAAGAGGGATCACAAAGAAGCAGAAGAGTTCTGGAAGCAGGTACACAGGCCAGATCAAAGCATTCTGCAAAGCTCCACCCTTTTCTGCCCTGAAATTTCCAACACACACATGTAAATGCAGTCACCCCGTTTGTGCTTCCCAAGGTCCTCCTGGTGCTCATGCCACGAAGCATCCCTGTAGCCAGAGCCAACCTGTAAAAGCCGTTCCCACGACCTACACCCTTCTGTGAGCATGCTACTCAACAGCCCACCAACACACAGACATTTGGGTACCACATGCCATTTTGCACTTACTGAAATACTGCTTGTTACCGTTTTTACGTCGCTTCATTTATGTGGGCTTCAGCTTCCAAATCAAATTACAAAGCTGCTTGAGGACAAGGACTGTGTCTTTTATCTCTTTCGAATACCCCCCACAATATCCAGAACAGTGCCCAGCATACAATAGGTGCTCAAGAAATGGTGGTTCGTGGTAATGCTCATGGCTGGAAGTCAGAGGGTGACTGAATCTCCACTGGTGGGTCCATCTTCAGTCACTACTGAGAGAGTCCCAAGGTATATAATGTCACTCCCCTCTCATGCCACACCACCTCCAGCCCCCTGAATCTACATTTAGCTTCCAAGTACAATAAACCATGTTAAGTTCCTCCACACACCCTCCCCATTAATACTGTCCTTTTCCCTCCAGACTGTGTGGAACACCTCTCTCTTTGGGGTACCATCCTTAGATACTTCTGGTGTGATAAAGTGAATCTGAGTAGCCACCAGGAGAGCTCTGTGCTGTGAAACTCAAGGTTTCTTCATTTGTTTTGGGGTTGGTAATGAACAGAATAGATACCAACACTTCCGAACGTCTGAGAAGAGCTTAATGAAATCCGGTGGGATGATTGATGGTAGCACTAGGCGGGTCCCTATCTGTCAGGCTCTTGCCTAGACCAAGACTGCTGCAGCAGCAATGACACCTAAACCCCAAACACAGTGTCCACACCTTGACATGAACACAAAAACTGGCATCCAGGTAAAACCAGCCTTTTTCTTATCTCTCACCCAGTGTGGAGTCCTTTGGGTGAGTGGCTGGGGGTTTGGGTCTCATTCCTCCCTCTCTCTTGAGGGATTTCCTCATCTGTTGCACGAATGGCTCGAAGTGAGGATGCCGAAAGTCTCTCCAGTTCGAAAACTGACGAGTGAAGAGTCCAGACGCCCTCTGACACTCCACTCACGCTCTCTCTGTCCAGGGCGAGCCTTTGGACCCGGATGGAAGACTCCTGGGACTAGCAAACATTAGTTCAGAACATCCAGGCTCCCTCAAGCCACCTGCAGGCTGAGAGGAGCACAGCAACCTCACGTTCTCTGGGCTGCCCGGGTTTCACCAATGAGGGAGCCTAGAGGGGTTCGAACCCCAGCCACTGCAGAAGGACAGGTCCTCACCAGGGTCCCCTTCTCGCTACCCCCCCTCCCCCGGCGCGCGCCAACCGCTCACCTCGCGAGGGAGCGGCGCTCGGGCGGAGCGACCGCTACAACTGCAGCTGTAACTGCCGCGACAGGCGCTCTACAGGCAACCTGGACTTGCAGCTGCCAGGCTGTGTACACCGTCGCCATGGCAACGGCGGGCTTCCAGGGATTCCGGAAGTACTGCGCGTTGGTGACGGAAATGAAGTTCACAGTCCTTCGTCAAGGATACAGGTAAAGTCAGGGCTGAATCCAGAAAGTGGAGACGGAAAACCTACAGCAAAGACGGGGGTCTGGGTTAAGGGGGAAAAAACCCCCAAACCATGAGGAAACCAGGAAGCGGGGCGGCGAGACTTCCGGCGCTGAGGAGTTTGTGACTACGGTGGCCCGCGCAGGCCAATCAAATTCTTACTTCGCGCTCTAAGCTGCTGTCGGCGTGCGCGCTCGCCCCGCCCTGGTTGAAGTGAAGCCGGCCGGCCAGGCCTGCGCAATTGCGGCGGCAGGGGAAGATGGTGGAGGACGGCACCGAGGAGCTGGAGGACCTAGTGCATTTCTCGGTGTCCGAGTTGCCTAGTCGTGGCTACGGCGTCATGGAGGAGATCCGGCGGCAGGGCAAGCTGTGCGACGTGACGCTCAAGGTACCGCAGTCTGGGTGGTGGCAGGCTGAGGGGAAAGGGGCCGAGTGGGAATAAAAGAGGTGCGGGAGCCAGGGGAAGAGAGGTCGAGCCGACAGAGGGTGGATGGAACAGAGTAGTAGAGGGAGAGGTGCCCAGCGGGAAAGGGGCTTGGAGGCCGACTTGGAAGAGGAAAAGGGATCTTGGATCAGCCATTGGGAGGAAAGATTGAGGGGTGTGCCTCGACGTTCCTGGAGCTGGAGACATGGGGGTATCCGCCTCCTTTTCTGTCACACAGGCTGGAAAAAATGTTCTTCCAGCCCATCTGTGGAGGAAGGGGCGGTGACTGGCCCCGCATTCCGATGGGCTCCACTGAAGCATCTTGTCACAGTCATTTCTTTGTGCCCCTGAAGTTGCCTGTCCGGTGCAGGGGCTGAGCCTTCTCCGGAGGCATGTCCGCCCTTGGCACTTTTAGATGGGCTCTTGGGAAGCGGACAGCTACTCTACCCCGTACTGGAAAGCTACCCACCGCAACCACCAAAAGGTCCCAGCGCCTGGACTAGCGAGCCGCTTGGGACAGAGGGATATCTTAACCACGGGTTCCCCACTAGCATTCTGGTCTCAAGAGCCAGTCCCCTTCCTGTGCTTTGAGTGTTTTTGTGGACAGCCATGCTGTTCTGCCCCTTAGCCAAGCTGCTGAGCCATGTGGATCCCTCCAGGTGGGGAAGTGATGCTGCCTGTGATTTTTCCTGTTCGACTTGGCTGGAAGGCTTTTACCATCTGTGACACCTCCCTCCCTCTTCCTGTTTGAAAACGACAGAAAGATGCAGAAATCTTTTAGCTTTCATTTTCTACATAGTTAAGGAAACTTGGCTTTTTTCATATATTTGAGTCAAACTGCGGAAGAGGGTTTGAATAGGATGGTTAATAGTTTGGCACTCAAAACAAAACAACAGAACCCCCAAAGTTTGGCTTTGGAGACAGAAGAATCTGGAGTAAAAATACGAGATGTAACCTTAGGCAAGACATTTAATCTCTCCAAGTTTAAGTTTTTCAAATGTGAAAATAGGCATGATATACCCAAATCTCACTTATAAGTGAGGATTAAATGAGATGTTTGGTATTGTTTGTATCACATCTAGTGTAACTTTTTCATCATTCTTGAAAGAAATGGTTTTCTAATGGAGGAGTGAAGTGTTCTGAGAAGGGGCAGGATCTTCTCGGGGGTAAGCGAGGGGAACCAAGAAATTAAGAGAGTAAACTGGGGGCGGGGGCCGCGGGCTGTGCTGGCTG